TTAAATCAATTTTGAGAACCACTACTCTAACACCTCTCCTGGCACCAGTATATGAAATCGGGGGAACTAGAAGGAGAGTGTGTCCCATAAGATGAGATGAGTGAGTGGCGGTTGTGAGGCAATAAGGTGACATCTCCGAGCTGAGAAGCCGACAATCACTACCACTAGGAAAGGAAGCTTAGAAATAATTTCCTTCAACAGCCCAACCGCTAGTCTATGTCCATATAAGGGAACCACAGACCATTAGAGCCTCACAGAACCTTAACAACGCCCTCTCTCATCCTACTTCATCATATACCTGGGGAAGCTGAGGCTCAAGAAAGAAAAGTGACTCGTCAGGGTTATGGAGAGTTTAATGGTAGGGCCATTGTGTACAATGTGAGATGTGTATTATTACTCTTTATAATGATATGTCATCATCACAATACTGATTAAACCCATTTCTTCTCCCAGTCCAAGGCCTTTTAAATGGTTACATCTTTGAACACAGCAACATGGCTTACTGCTTGGGAGCACGGGCTCTGGTGCTAGAGTGCCTGGGTGGCCCCTCTGGCTCCACTGGGTAACTCAGTCTTACAGGGCAAGTCACTCAATTCCCTTGAGCCCCAATTTTCTCACCTGGAAGGTGGAGATGATAACAGCATTTACCTCAGAGAATTGTGAAAACTAAAGGGAAGGAAGGAACAAGTAATGAACTCAGCATAGTAACACAGTAAGTGTGCAATAATTAGCCATTCTTATTCTATTAAGGTAGGTCAGGGTAGCACCCAAAAAGAGAAAAAGAAAGACTAAGTATGGATATTTGTGCTAAGGTTCATGTTCGAATCTTCTAACAGCTTCAAGATATTATTATTTTGCTTTCAAAGACTTCTCAAGTAGGGGCAATTCTGAGTCAGAACCAGCTTTGATATCACCTCTGACCGAAAGGATGTCACAACATCTAAGCATCCCCACCTATCAAACAATTAAATTACTCAAAAAATGCTCTGCATGCTGAAAGTGCTGTACAATGTGGGATGTGTATTATTGCTCTTCATAATGATATCTGTCATCATGACCATACTGACCATCTCGGCCAGTCTGAACTTTATCACTTGTAAGGCCATGTAGCAGGGATGTAGGGCAAGGTTGCTTACAGAAATCCTAACATTTAGTCGTCCTATTAAAATAGAAAGAAAGCTAAGAAGTAGGGAAGAAAAGAAAAAGACCCATCTTGGCTCTCACAGGCACCAAAGACTGAACCTCATCTGCAATGCTCAATGAGCAGGGAGGGACAGTAACAGGCCTAGCAAGACGCCAGCCCCAATCCTTCCTGGGGCTGAGATGCACCTTTCACAAGAGGCAGTGGCATGATTGCTGCAGAGGATTTGATGCCCACCAAAATCCTTTTCTAAGAACAGCAATTAAACTTAAACTCCTTGTGTTTTGGATTAATCAAAATGGTTGAGGGATGAGGATGGGGTTTGGGAGTCCTGAGAAGGATTTTCTCTTTTTTATAAATTACATAGAAAAAATTTAATTTCTTTTTTATAAGCACACTTTTTTAATTTAAAAAAGGGGAAGACAGTAAAGGGTAGAAAGGTTAAAGAATTGGAGGGATTAGAAAATTCAACACCTATTCATTCACAAATGCTCTGTGCTAAGGTGTGGAGTCTCTAGAGGACACAACCTCTTAAGGGTTAAAAGGCTAGGGAAAGGGACATCTGCCCACAGTTATCTATGTGGATGCCCAGAGGCCAGACTGTGGGCAGAGGTCCCACTAAGATCCAGTCATGGCTGTTTCCCCTCTCCTGGCCAGCAATGCTCCACCAGCCACTTCCAGCTCAAGCCACCAAATACCTAAGCAAAGTAACCCTAAACAGTAACAGTATCTCCCTGTTCTCATTGTGCTCCATTCTTGTCCTTAAAAAAAAAAACCTACTTCAAATGCAGCCTTCCCCACTACATGGAGATCCTACCATCCTCAAAATTCCTCTCTTGACAACAAGCTACAGCCTAAGTGGAAAAGCCACCTCCGGTCTGTTCCCAGACTCTGTGCTTGTGCTTCCTTCTGCTGTCGCTCCTTTCGTACACCGCAGGTGACTCAAGATATGACAATGATGCCAGTCACTGGCTTGCTGAGGCCCTTCGCTCCTCCCCCCAGGGCTGATTCCAAACCACACCCCGAGGGAAGTTGTGAACTTCAGGAAAAGCAAGACAGGGAAAAAAAGGTTTGAGTACAGAAAAGGTGCTAAAGAAATATACATGTATGGTCAAAATGATATTATCCTGAAATGCCAATTTAGTAAAAACCACAAATGAAGATTCTCAGAGACTACTTAGAGCAGAGTTCATTTATTATGTTCCTTGAATCCCCTGGGTTTCTCTGTTCTTGAGTACAACCCCCTCTTACCTCTCTACTACTAAGCATATTTTTCAGTTTATTAAGGAAGGCTACAAAAAGACTTAGGGTCTACCCCACCCTAGAGGCACTGAAGAAATAAAATGAGAGTTTATATGAAAATGCTGGGAAGAACACATACACATTAACCACTCTTAATACAAGATAATTGCCTACCTAACCATAATCAAGAGCTAGCTTAGAATATGATCCTGGGCCTCCGGCAAAGCATTTTAAACTTATGCAAAAAATAGCCAAATGTTCAGTCTCTACTAAACTATTTTTAACGTGAAATTCTTATCTAAAACCTAAATCCTTACCTATATCCTGAAAGACATTAAATGTTCAACTGTTTTCTCTCTAGGTATTAGTGGAAAGAGAGAAAAGAGTATAGAATTCCTTATGAGTTTTGAGAGACTAACCTATCTGCCCAAGCTAGTCACAGAATATATTTTAGGATTATATAAAATCTCTTAAGGTCTACTCCTTTAAAACCAGGGCACCACCACCTGCCCAATCTTCCTCATGTGGCTACTGTACAGTAAAAATGCAACAGTGCACCGCATGCACCTTCACTATGGGAAGGTACCACTCAAGCTGTAACCTCCTCCGAAAACACTCCTGCCTGCAGCCCTCTATTCTCTGCCCCTCCCGGACCACTGCATATCTGCTAAAGAGAACATGAGGAAAGATGCCTCTGGCGCTACTGAACTCCACATTCTCAAGCAGCCAAACCAATGAAAAAATAGCCTCTGTTTCCACTCCTGAAAATGCAGCTTAGAAATCACTAACACCAAATCATACGGTTACGGTTAGGACTTGCAGTTATATGTAACTATCCTTTAGGCTTGGAGAGGATCATCAACTAGACACACCACTTTCCCTCCCCCATTCAAACCAAAGGCTCAGCCTGGAATGTGGCAGGGCTTCAGGTACCTTTTGTAGCAGTGAAACAAATGTCTCCCCACGTAGTTCAGCTCACCTAGGCAGGGAAAGGCACTTGACTATCTTAAAGAAAATGCTTTCTCAGACCTTCATCCCTATGTTGAAGAAACATGGCATTCTTCCAAAACAGAGTTAAACCCAGTTCTCTCCAAGAAGAGCCACTGAATTAATCAAATCCCAGACACTCTGACCCATGTGGATTTAACTAAGCCACTGTGACTCAACCCCTTCAGGCACTTAGAAGTCAATCTGGCAGCCAGAGAAGACAGTGGCCATCCTTATATCACCTGACAGGTTAGTGTCACTACTTTCACTTAGTAACACCATATAACAGAAACTTCTAATGGTCTAAGCCTTTCTTTTTTATTAAGGTATCACTGATATACAATCTGTGAAGGTTTCACATGAGCAACACTGTGGTTACTACATTGCCTCCTATTGTCAAGTCCCCACCACATACCCCATTACAGCTGCTGTCCATTAGTGTAGTAAGATGCTACAGAGTCACTACTTGTCTTCCCTGTGCTATACTGCCTTCCCCATGCCCCCCTACATTATGTGTGCTGATCATAATGCCCCTTAATCCCCTTCTCCCTCCCTTCCCACCTGCCCTCCCCATCCATCCCCTTTCCCTTTAGTAACCGCTAGTCCATTCTTGGGTTCTGTGAGTCTGCTGCTGTTTTGCTCCTTCAGTTTTTGCTTTGTTGTTTTACTCCACAAATGAGTGAAATCATTTGGTACTTGTCTTTCTCCACCTGGTGTCTAAGCCTTTCTTGAATCTGAAATTTTAATCTAACTATTTGAAGGAAGATGCAAATGCCAGTTACATAGGCACTTCCCATTTCCTAAATTCATCCAGTCCCTAGAGATCACCCTATGGATTTAAAGAACAAGTTTGTGTCCTTCCTAAGCAAATTGAAAAAGTCTGAAAAAAAAAAAGACCCCTCGTCTCTTAGTCTGACCTCAAGCAGCCCCACCTCCCCATGGTCATTGTATGAAATGGAAAAACAGGACTGTGTGACACAGAGCTGGTGGTTGCACTTTTCTGGGTCTCAGTTGCTTCTTTGAAAAATCACACAGGAGAGCCTGAACTAATGAAGTTAGGTAGTTCCAACTCTTACAGTTCTATTGGCCTTTCTTGAAATTTCCGCTACAGCCTCCTCCTTAAGTTGCCATCCACTCATAGTTTCTATTAAAATTCTAATGAATTATCCACAAATGGTTTGAGTTCACCCTTAAACTATTAAAGCACACTGTACTTTGCCAAATCCTGCTGGCCCACTGGAGAGACCTATACAAACTACTTACAGGGCAATTTTCTAAGAGTTTTACATAAAGTTGAACCGTATGAAGCTGCCAACATTCAAACATCTTTAACAGACAAAACAGCAATTTCATATGGTTCAATTTAATCCTCCTTATAAACCCATGAGGTAGGTTTTACAAATGAGGAAATGGAAGCATAGAGAAGTTAGTAACTTGTAGCAGTCACACAGCTAGCAGATTTGGATTTAAACTTGGGAAATTGAGTTCCTGAGCCCATAGTCCTAACCATAACATTATACTGCCCCCTGTAGTGGAAACAAGAAAAGCCTGAGGAGGTGAGTCCAGACCAAGGCAGTGTCTCAGAAGGGGAGAGAGAGAGGCTCACACCACAGCCTCTGTTAGGTTGTACCTTTCACTTCAATGGTGGCATTTGCTTTTGGAGCACTGACAAAGTGGTACACGCAGTGGTATTCTCCTGAATCCTCAGCTCTTGGCTTATTGATCCTGTAGAGATGAGAAGAAACATCAAATGAGGAAGCTGTGGTCAAAATATACAACAAAATGAGAATCAAAAGAGCAACTAGGGACCCTGCTCTCCAAACTGTGCCCCTGAATGCAACTCACCTCATCTTAATTAAAAGCAAGAACCTCCCTCTGTGGGTCCCAAAACAAATGCCTGCTCCTTACTGAATGCCAGGAATACAAAGATGGAATGATACGTGGTCCCTAACTTTAAGGTGCTCTAGTCTGTTGACAGAAACTACAAAGCAATTATCAAAATAAGGGGCTGTACAAGATATTGTAATCTATATTCAGATACAGAGGATGAAGCTATCACTAAAAACTTCTTGCTCACCTGGTAGTTCCAATCAAATTATGTTTTAAAAAACAAACCATTTTCTGTGCTTCCCTAAAGCCCTTGGTTTTGGTAGTCCTGTTCTTAACCTGTATTTTGGTAGCATACCTTTTAATGAGTCTAGTCACTAGCAGGACCCAGGAGTAGTTTATGTGATTGCTTGGTGAATATATCTTTCCAAACAGACCACGTCATGGGTAAATAGGCACTGCTGATTTGGTGCACAATTCTATACCCAGAACATAGCCTGGTGCCTACAATATAGTTAAGGGAATGATGAAACAAACGAATGACTGAATAAATACAAACTCAGGATGAACAGCACTGTTAAACCAAATTAAACAGACAGGACTACAGAACTGTGTATGGCCAGAACAGCACTTTCTCTAAATCCTTCAGTTATCTCAAATAACCTCTCTTGCCCCTAAGGACCAGCTTCATTTCACATCATCAGCTCAGTACATTCTGGCCTACACACATATCCCGGAATGCAGAAAGGATGGTATGCAATTATAGAAAACAGAGAACAGCCGCCTTCACATCAGAGGATAAACATATTAGCTCTTTCTCTTTTGCTCAGTGGTTAAAATATGATGTTTGTGATGGTCAAAGCCCCACTGTACTAGTTATGTCTGAGAAAGACAGCTAACCTTGACCACTGACTGGCCCAACACATTTATCCATCATACTGTTCATCCCCAAAAAGAAACACAGATTAAGAGACTAGAGATGAAGAGAAACACAGACCAGCGCCAGGACTGTCTCACCATATCTACGGGGGCATAATATTCCAAGAGGAGCGGTCAAGAGTCTTCTCAATTTGACACAAGTGCCTCTTCTCAAAATCAATATGCTCCCAAGGAAAGCAGACGTGAGTCAGCTGCTCTTAGTAAATGTTGCAGAGTTTAGAGAAGGAGCAGAAACCATATACCTAGGGCTTGGCCTGACTCTAAGTTTTCTTACCAAGTTAACTCCCAAGCTTGAGGCCATCCCTACGGGCTGAAAGTCTCCCCACAACATTCCCTTCAGCTAGCTATTGGAAAGAAATTCCCTACAGGCTAAGCAAAAGCACGGTGTGAGTCTTGCTCCAAGGCTGACTTATTAAGTGGCCCAAGAGACTGCTCGGTTGTTATTCCACAAAATGTGGGAGAACAGATTCCCTAGAAAACTGACAATGCTGAATACCCCTGAAGAGCTTCAAAAGCTGAGGGAAAAAAGGGGGAAAGAGGCATTTAAAAAAGTCAGGCTCAAGCTTTATAAAGTTACAGTTCAGACCATAGAGGGTGACATAGTACAAGAACTAAGAGAAACATGTTTGGGGGATGTCTGGTACCTTGAAAGAAATATAAAAAACAAACCTGTAAAACTAATGGGCAAACCAAGAATAAACAAATGCCTTTTATTTTACCCACATCTCTATTTGATTAACCTTTTCCAAACTATGAGGATATAGCTGAGGCTGTATTTCCAATTTTATATCAGAACAAACTACAGTGAAGATAGGTTAACTAAGTTGCCAATGAACAGTATGGTACAGCAGAAAAAAAACAATGACATAGATTCTTAATAGTCAGCAGATCTGGAACCTTGCCTTGTTTCCAAAATTTACTAGATACATTATTTGGCCCAGAAGGAAGTCAAGAGTTATTATTCTTTGAGTTTTAGTTTCCTTACCCCCCAAAAAGGATAAGGATCCACAAATTAATGAGGACCCATTAGTAAGAGATATGAAAAGATCTCAATTCTGCAAAATCCTGCAGAGCTGTCCTTGCTGCTACTGAGTACACAGGTTTTCCTTGTCTCACTCCACTGTACTTTTTCTTTGTTCATCATCATCCTGCCAACCATTATTAGCTGATCCTTTTCCAGATAGGTTTCAACTAGGAACAAACCGTTCTGAAAGGTGAGGTGCCATGTTCCAAAAAAGCACCAAATCTTTGAAGCCCAGTAACTTCAGCCAGCAAATATCCCCCTTTCATCAAAGGTAATTTCTAGACTACCATCCTTATTCCAGATCACTAAAGAGCCCATTATCCACTGGGCCTGATCAGGTTATGGTCATATTAGACACTCCTAAGAGGTAATTCACTAGAAAGTTTACCCAGTCAAAAGATCACTTAGGGTGATCTCGCTCTAAGAGTCCTAAATCAGATTTTGATCTGATTCCTCAATCCAGTGGATTGAGTCAAGAAACCTGCATTCTAATTGTGACTTTCCTATTGATTAGCGTGTCCTATGCCCTCAGTTTCTCTATTATCATAGTGTGGGGATAGTCTATGGCTTTTAAACCTGGCTGCTTGGCTGTTCATTAGAATCCTTTGGAAATCTTTTATAGACTCCTGGGCTCTCACCCCAAGTATACTGGATTAGATTCTCCAGAGAAGGACCACATATACCTCACGTGCCACTCACATAGCATGTTTATGGATAACGAATGTCAAGTAAGATCAGCTACACTCTCTCCAATCTTCCCAGGAGCCACTAGCCCCTCTTACCTGTATTCCATGTTGGTGGCATTCTTACGTGTGGCAGTCAGTTCTACCCCATTCTTTGTCCAGTAGCTGTATGTAAGGGTGGGAGAGCTAGAGGTGAGGTTACACTGCAGGGTGACAGGGAGAACAGGGCCATCTCGAATAATGACCTCTTCACTGGTGACGATCCTTGGCTCTGTAATAAGAGTGCACAATGATAGGGAGCGGTACATAGCCTTCCATTCTCTGCAGCCCTGGCCTGAGAGTTGGATGGGGTAGGATGGGGAGACTAGAAGAAGAGGGAGGGCAGACAGGACCACATGAGGAATTTCACTTAACCACTTTGGAAGAAGTCAAGAAAGAAAAAACAACGATTTATAAGCAAATGACCACTAGCGCAGACAACAGCCTGAAGACCAGTTGGCCTAGACGTGAAAAGAATGGGAGTATTACAGATGTTTGTACTGGCAACAATCCACTTACACTTTTGTATGCCACCGATTTATAAGAATCGCCAACCAATTCAGCTTCAATTAGAAAACCAGGCTCCACCTTGCAGTTCTGAAGACAAAGGCAGTATCTTTTATGTAACTAATAAACTCCCTATGGAGTCACTAGACCTTGGAATAATAATAGCTATAATCAGATAATACATGTATGGCATTTCCCACATTTAAATCTGATAATCCTGTGGCAAACCAGCCATGACCATTAATTATGCAGAAAAACACAGTATAGATCCTAAAAGCAAATTTCCTGCCAGAAGTCTATAGCATTTTCCAAATTTTGCTGAGGGACAATTCTTAAGGAATCATCAGTTCTTCTCTCCAGCCCATATTTATTCCCAAAATTTTCAGAACTGCACTTTAAAATACATTCCATTCTGAGATAAGATAACTATAACTAGAATGTAATAATATGTGTTGGTATTATGGGCTTCTAGAATCTTAGAGCTGAAAGGCCCTTAAGAGTTCACTGAATCCCAGTCTTTAAAAGAAAGAAAGGTAAACTTACTTGTACAAGGCTAAAATTATTATTAGTGGCAAAGCTGGGCCTAAAATACACATCTGAATAAATTCTCTATCCCTGCCCCCACCTCCAAACCAAAAAGACCTCCCACACATCTTCCACCCTATGGCAAGTGATATACATCATCTAGGTTCTATCCTGGGCTTCTATAACCTGGGATCACTACCACAGTATCTACAGAAGTAACCTATTTGAGTCAAATATTGTACCACATTAAGCAGAAATTTTTTAAGGCACACTCTATCAGTCCTAGAAAGTTCATCCTTAAAGCACTGTGAATTCCATCACTCTATTCAAGTCAAGATGCTTGTTCCTTGTCTTTTCTTATTGTTATTTTTAATCTTTTCCCAGGTTTAGTTCTTTTTCTACTTTTGGTTGGTTAAACATTTTTCATGTTAAGTCTAAACTACTCAATCTTTTTCCATTCACAACTAAAGGTATTGCTCTTTTTTTCCAATTCCTTCTCAGAAATCCTTACCTGACTTCTCATTTCTCTTCGCCCAGCTCCTTCTTGTGTACAACTGTAGCAGCTCCCTGACACCATTTTATGCAATACAGTACTGGCTCTGAACTCTTAAGGCCAGAACTCTCTCCCTCTACTGGAACTAAGCTCTGTTTGTTGTACAGTGAGGGTAGAGAGGATTGAGAAGTCATGGGACACTTGAAAAATGTAATGCCCAAAGGACCTCTTTATCAATGTAACATTTCTGATTGTAAAGCTCATATCATCAAAGAAACTTGTGATAAATAAAGCAAATCCTCAAGTTTGCTCAATTAAATTGGTTCTCACTGTTCTCCAACTCTGGCAAAAGGACTGTGGTTATATTCCATTCAGCAATAGTCCTTACTGGTAACATCAAACAGGGTCTCTATGTACAAATAATGGAGGCATAGCAGCCACTAAGACAGAAGCAGATGCATGTAAACACGTTAGCGCAGTGGTGTCCCATGGTTTCCAAAACACACTGGACAGAAGCCAAATCCCTGGGCCTTAAGTCAAGCAGAACGGCTGCAAACCCTGCAATGGAAGGCGCACACACACCATCAGCAGAAAGCATCACAATTCCAAGAAAAGTCAAAACCAAGCAAAAACAAAAGAGAAAGAGAGAACCAGTACTCCACAGAAATTAAAAAATATAAAGGCAACATTAAAACCCAAACACACTTTTAGGTTTTTACTGAGTTTTTATTATCCAATTTCATTTTCTGTCCCACTTGGGACTCTCCTTCTGGTTCTTCCTCTCAGACTGCACTGAGAAAGGGTGAATTCTGAGAATCAGGCCAAAAGCTTCCAGATGTTTAAATACAAGGAAGCCAAAGCAAATGCTACTCTTACCTGTGGTGATGCAAGTGACCACTGCAGCTCAGGGAGATAAAGAAGTTGATGAAAACAACCTGGTAGACTTTCTGCCAAGAATTCTTGGAAGGCAAAGGAAAGCACTTCTTCCCTTAAGTGTTAAAGATCCTGGAGAGTCAGCTGAGAGCAAGTGGATAATTTAAAAGGTTTGAATATGATTCTGGACCACAGGAGGGCTGTGGGGTAGAGTAACCTCCCTCCTATGATTACTATATATGGAAACTAGTGCCAAACCAAGTTCCCTGGCCGTGGTGTCACACCTGTGTTCTGCAGCAGGATGAAGGTGGAGCTTTTATTTCTGTGGCCAAGCATTGCCCATGCAAAGTCCAAGATAGATGAACATTTAGGAGAACCTCAAAAAGTTTTACCTGCCACTGACTCCTATTTAGAAACAGTGGGTAGAAGACCTTTAAACTAGTCATGATTCATATATAGCAGAACGTGCTATGGCCAGAGAGATACCCTAAAAACAGGGTATCTCTTCCTGCTTTACATTACTCAAGGACCTCTGAGAAGTACTGTCAGGAAGTCATTCTCAGATAGAAGACTTCAACTTCCCCCTAGAGGCAAATGTCCTTCAGGATCCTAAGATCACTAAACAATCAATTACAATGAATTCAGGGTGTTTAAAGAAGAAGAAAAGCCTGGCTCCCGAAAACAGTTAATTGGTTAGCTGACTGACAGGAAGTCTGGGGAGAGAATGAACTGGCCAGGGTTTGGTTTTTAACTACATGCAGATACCTGTAAGTTAGGAAGCTTATTTCCAAGTAAACTGGGGGGATGTTAGGTACTCCTGAGATTGGTATGTAAATATACCAAAGCCTAATCTTCTAGCCCCACAGCATGACCTACTAACCAGGAGTCTGGTCTACCTGAGTCAGTCTCCTGGAAGTATAAGTACCTAATGCCCAGCCTAGTCCATGACCAGACTTCTGCAGACCTTTGTGGCCATTTGGTTAATTCCTCTTTTATAAGGAAAGGAGCAAGGGGGGCAGGAAAAAGAGGCGTGCAAGGGAAAACAGCTGTTAAATGAAAGAAAAATCATTGGGTTAATATTCCCCACTTTCACAGAGACACGATTTTCTTTTCCCCTTTCCAGAAGCAGGTTCTCTGATTCAACAGTGCCAACTGCAGCAGCTTCTCCTCTGTGTCCTCTAAGGACTCTTTTCTTCATAGGCACCTTCTGAGTTACTATAAAGAAGAGACAATTAATTTGCTATTTTCCATGTAAGTATATAGATTCAGGGCCCATGTCATATTACCTCCTGTGCTATTACCAAATTCTTCATAAATGTACTTATTATTTTTATTTACTCTTTCTAAATCAGTCAATTATTTGAGCCAGAACTGGCTCTAAGTCTCGTACTGAGTCTCTGAAAGAAGGTGAAAATCCCAGGGGATCTGTCCACTAAACAGAGATTGCTCCCTCAATTATAGTCAGGTCAGATGCGGGGCAATAACTCTTCCTGGCCCAGAGCACTGGCTCTGGGAGAGGTCCCTCCCTCTCCTTGCCACCAAACAAGTAGCAAGACACTTTCCAGAAAGAGAGGCAGCCATGAAAGCTCCAGTACCTGATGTCTTGTACCTGATGCAGCACATGAAAGGAAGGCTTCTGAGCCAGCTGCTCAGTTCACCTTCATCACTCAGAGGAACGGGGTTGGATTTAGTTTCCTCTTTTTTCTAGGCACAAGAAAAGGACAGTGTGAATGGTTTCCAAACTGCTTCTAGGGTTGCCAGCCTCTGGGCTGAGCAGCACTATGCCAACAGCCAGTCATCAAAGTCAAACTGTGAATAGGAAGCAGCTGCAACTCTGACTTTGAAACAGCACGATGGAGTTTTAAAAAAATACTTTGCAGCTTAGTGTCACCTGGCTCCTAACAGCAAGACCTATGGAGGAAATCTCAGGTTGCTGCTTTTAAGAGAGCAGGAGACTGGATAGGCAGGACCAGTGAGGAGTGTACTGCTGTAGTGGAGGGCTGTTATCAGAGAAGCACATGCCACTGTTGTAGAAAAGAAAAAGAGCTGGAACTATGGAAATATTCAAGCTTACACACCACCCAACAACCGAAACACACTACACCACACCCATGGCAACATCCCCATCACAGAACAGGATGACACCAAGTCACAGTGAGGGAAGAGGCTGGGCAGACACAAACTTAAAACCACAGAGGTGAAGGCAGCTACTCAGAGAGCTTCAAACAGATAAACAGAAGAAATGAAAAGTAGTTAGAGTGGGGAGAGAAACAAAAACAGAAAGGCACCAGAGAATAAATCAGCAAAGGGAGAGCAGGAAACCTACTACAAAATTAAGGGGGAGGAAACGAACAGTATCACCGCTATCCTGGTTTGGACTGCCTGCTTTTGTTAAGTGGCTTTTGTTTTGTTTTTGTTTTTGTTTTTGTTTTGCCCCCCAGTTCTCCCTCCCCATCTCTTCCCAATGCAGATCATTTTGGACAGTCTCGGATTTCCCCAAGTTCTTTGTTCCTGAGGAGAAAGACACAGAGAAGGGTTGGGGGATAAAGGAGGTAGAGGACGGCAAAGAAGAAAAACAGAAGTTGCCACAGATGTTTTCATACACTACAACCAGAAGGGTCGTGGGTTTGAAAAAAACAAAGACATGGGGTGGGGTGAGCGATCATACTGGGGAAGAAGGAAAGGAAGCAGAAGGGAAGGGTCATTGGGCCACCTCTAATGACTACAGTACTACTACTGTAGGGTGCTGGACTCACTCTGAAGGACGCTTATGGTGGCCTGGGCTCGAATCCATGTTATGGAGGGGTTTTGCCTCAAGTCATTCCTCTTGGGGTCGTTGCTGGCCCTGCACTCGTAAGTCCCAGAGTCCTCCAAGGTGAGCCGGGTTATTCTCAGCACACTCACGCCGTTTGACCCGTAGGCGGTGTTTACGGTGACACGGCGCTTCCGAGCACCGTCCCACAGCTGTCTGAAAGACTCTGCCCGGTTGACTTCTGCGTACCACCACTGGATCTCTGGCGTGGGGCTCCCGACCACATCACAGTACAGCTCAAAGGCGTCCCCAGTGAGCTTAGTTTCTGACATGGGCGACTTGACAAACCCAGCTAGAGGGGGGGGGAGCAGGAATGCAGTGACAGGCCAATCAGAAAAAAAAGAATCAACAGGTGTTAATAGTAATTTAAAGAAAAGAAAAGAAAAAAGCAAATGAATTGCAAAGAACAAAAAGGATTCATTTTTAAACTACAAAGAGACAGTAAATAGCATTTCATACAAGCTTTCAGAAGAAGAACCACCCTGGGAAGCTTACAAGCAAAGGCAGGCTAATTATAAGCCGGGGCAGCCCAGGTGCTGGCCAGGCAGAAGCAAGCACACTGGAAAGCATCTTAGCAATGGGCCCAGCTGGTAGGAATGGGAAAGCCTCAGGTCTTAGGAAAGAGTCTCTTTCCTTAGAGCACAAACCGTTACCTTTTCAAATTCAGGCAAGCAATGAAAGATAACTGGAAGGGGCTGTAGGTTTATATGCCAAGACAGGATCTCTCTCTAGGATGGGTGAACACTTCATTAGAGACACAATGTCTTTTGTGTGCCTCAATAAGAAGTATTAACTGACCGTTGACACCTTGGGAGCTGGAGTACAAAGTTCAATTGAAAAGGTAGCAAATTTCTCTCTCATGAAGGACTCTATCCTGAGTTCAGGCTAGACTCGCCCCACATCCTATTTCTCCCTGGGCCTTGGCAAACAAACAACCCAGGTGTCTGAGATTAGGCAGCCTCTAACTGCATGCAGACCCTCAGGCATAAGGAGAACAAGCCAGTCCTTCAGAGTGAGAATTACTGCGGGGGTCAGCTCACCAGAGGAACCAGCAGTAAGAGTGACCCCACTCCTCTCCAGTCTACAGTCTCACTTTGCCTTATGTAATCTCATGAATTCATACAACTACAAAAATCTCCTGAAAAGTCTAAGTGTATCTATCGGCTATTTACCCTTGTGATCACGCAGCTAACCGTGAACTGAGCTCACTGCCACTGCCCAGCACCACAAGAAAGGGTCATACCACACATACTACTAGCCCAGAAAAGATCAAAATTCAAAGTACAGTTTCTGTTGAATGTGTATTGCTTTCACACTGGAAAGCTGAGCCATACTAAGTTGAGGACTGTCTGTATCTGAAATTAGCCTAGCCTACTTTAAATGTGCTCAGAGCACTTACATTAGTCTACAGTTGGGCAAAATTGTCTAACACAGTCTTAAAAATAACCATGGTACATGACAGGCTCTCTCTACATAGTTTAGTTTCATGGCTCCAAAGAGGCCAACTCAAAAAGAATAAGAAATGTATGTATAATGATGAATTAAAACTCTACAATGAAGCCTTGACCTCAACAACATCACCAGACACATCACCCAAGAACTAAAATTGCTCATTTACACTTGTCCATAATTTGCCTGAGGTTACACTTCCATAAGACAAGGTGGCAATGGCAGAAAGTAAAAAAAAAAATTAAAAATCCAGACTTATTTGAAGAACTTGGAGTAGGGGTCCACAGGAACTAGCACAGCATACTCACAGTGCTAGCATACTCTCTCTTAGCCACTTACTCCACCTAGGGTTCTTTCAGCATTTTCTACCAATTCCGGCAGCATCCTAAGGTACAGGCCAAGAAGCTAAAAGAGGGTCCTCTGAGTGGCTGGGCAATTTCTCTTGGAACCAACCAGACATCTGCAGTAAGCAGAGTAGGGCCTGGATCTCCCAATATCAGATTGACACTATTCCAGAGGAGAGTTCCCTTTAAGGAAACAGTTCTCCTATAGTCCAGAAGCCAAGGATGTAATGGAGCTGGCTGAAAATGGAGGTTGCTAAGTGGAAATTTTTCTGTTTATATCCATAGAAGTATGTACCTTTGGAGATAAACTCCACCCATGGACCTCAGAACCCTAAGAGAGGAATTATACTTGTCCAACTACAGGTCAAGACCTCCAAATTCATACCAGTCCAGTCTTCCAATTCATAAAATATTTAGAATCTGGGAAGGACAGGAGTGCAGTAATTAACAGCCTTAGTTTAGACTAAACGTTCTACTCTGAAAACACCATTCTAAACTTCTTCAAATCCAGTTTCAGCTCCCTGTAAGGAACTATCTCCCGGAGGCCTCAAGAAGCCAAAAAGATGTCATTCTCAAATGCAGAAGTTTAAGAATTCTAGAAAGGAGACACTAAGCCCCTGCCTGAAAAGCTAAGCTCACACTCAGATAAAGGGGTATCCAAGGAGCCATGTCTTAGTCTCACCAAACTGCCACCTGCTCGTTTGTCAGAAGCCAATAACAACTAATATAGAGGGAAAGGTAAAGGAAACTGGTTTTGTTCATTTTAGTACTGGTGTAATCACCAGAAGAAGCTGGCTATCAGTAAATCCCTACAGAACAGTAAAGAGTATTGTTCCTTTTTAATCATATTCTTGATCATGAAGTGGAAATCACAAATGCTCTTATTCTCACATTCTCTGTAAACTGGGAGAGTTTATGTCCTCTCAAATGCTGTGATTATGTACAGACCTTCCTTGCCTTATGATGGGGTTATGTGCCAATAAACCCATTGTAAGCTGAAAATATCCTAAGTTGAAAATGCATTTAATACACCTAATTCACTTACATCACAGTTTAGCCTAGCCTACTTTAAATGTGCTCAGAGCACTTACATTGGTCTACAGTTGGGCAAAATTGTCTAACACAAAGCATATTTTATATTACCAAGTGTTGAGTGTCTCATGTAATTCGTTGAATACTGTACTGAAAGTGAAAAACAGAACGGTCGTATGAGAACAGAATGGTCTAAGTGTATCTATCGGCTATTTACCCTTGTGATCATGCAGCTAACCGTGAACTGAGCTCACTGCCACTGCCCAGCACCACAAGAAAGGGTCATACCACACATACTACTAGCCCAGAAAAGATCAAAATTCAAAGTACAGTTTCTGTTGAATGTGTATTGCTTTCACACTGGAAAGCTGAACCATACTAAGTTGAGGACTGTCTGTATCTGAAATTTACTACTGAATTTGTTTTCTGTATTTTTTCCCCTTCTGAATTGCACTTCAAAGCAGGCTTGGACTTCAGTCTCTTTATTGACCACACTAATATAAAAACAATACTTGCACACATGTCCAAAACACCAAGAACCCACCCAATTCCAGTGTAATCTCAAATCCCAACACCACACAATTCAAAGGCAGCTGAGACACAGCTTGAACACATTTCCTACTGCACAGAACCAAGCAACTCACTCCACCTGGCACTGCCTCCTGCCTCCCCTGGGCAAGACTTACTTCTAAGGAAGAAGGGTTGGTGATCTTATTTGATTTTTCTACCTGTGTACAAGAAAATGGGACTAAGTAAAAAACGGTTTTGAATTACTAAATTATAGAATGCATATTTAAACAAACTTACCTAAAGACAAGATTAAAAATCCCTTAAAATACTGACATTATGTACTCTTCAAGGGCTATTATGATGTTTTGTTATTAAACATGTATATCAACAAGTAACATTTCTAGGTATATTTTAGACAATGTGCTAAGCACTTTATATTACCTTAGTTAATCCTCACAATAGCCTTATAGGATAGGTGCCATTAAAATCCCCTTAAAAGTGTGGGAACTAAGGCCCCCAAAAGTTAAGTACTTTGCCCACGGAGCCATTAACAAAAAGAGTCTGGCCTGGAATTCAGGTGTGCCCAAAGCTAAAGGACGGCAGTGTCACCTAATGCTTTCCACAACTGCAATCAGTGTGTCTTATCAGGCTAGAAAAGCTTTTTGTCATTATTTAAATGTTAAAGATATTTTTTGTCACCACTTAAATTTAATGAATTAGTTAACAATGTCTAACTATAAAAAGCCGGAACTTCACACTGCGATCACTAACTCCTTAAAAATTATACTCCTATTAAAGAAGGATCAAAGAGCGCATAGAGAGAGAGAGAGAGAGGAGAGAGAGAGAGAGAGAGAGAGTGTGTGTGTGTGTGTGTGTGTGTGTGTTGGGGTAGAGGGAGAAGGGGAGAAAAATCGTGAGAAAACAAAAGAAAATACGGTTCAGAAGCAAGACTGCCCCCTAGTTCGAAGCAGGAGAGTTTAAAAGACATTAGGTACCTATCTTTGGTGTTGTGGTCAGTGGCCAAATTAATAAAGGCAGCACCAAAAATACTTATAAAATTTAACAGTTTGCAAAGAGTTTCCACACACTTCACATCTCACTTCATTCTCATAATTTCACAAGGTTCAAAGAGCAGGTGCAGAGACAGGTTTGTGATTTGCCTAAGATTGCTTAGTTGGCTAATTCTGAGCAAAAGCTGATATCAGAATGCAGGTCTTTAACTCTTAGTCTACAGTTCTTTCCAGTAAACTATATTGCCTCTAAACAAACCAAGTAGGGGATTCCTTGACAGCTGAACACTCATCAAAAATCAAGAAAACAGATCTATTTCTCCTCCTAGCAGTAAGAGAGGAAAAAATACCCTCTCTACACAATACTGTGAAATTACAATTAGCAAGGGAAAGTTATTAACAACCATCTACCTCATTATCTGTCCAAAATTAGCTCCAATTCAGGAGAGGAGAAGAACCAGCTCACAACAGCAGAGGCAGGCAGCAGGCAGCAGGCAGCTCAGAGCCTGACTCACTGTCCTGCCTTTCATTACCAAGGGCTTTCAAATATAGGCCCTCAACATGAGAGCACAAAACTGCTAAAATTAGGAGGCCAGCAGAAGCATCTGGTTTGATCTCCAGGTCAAAGCTCATCCAGTATTTTGTAAATTTCAGAAAAACATCCTTCCACTCCTTTCTCATCATCTCCACTTACTGTAACTGGGCTCAGATCTCATGCAGGTTAGAGAAAGTGCTAGTATCAGTGCATTCAGTTCGACAGTGATTAGGAGGAAAGCTGAACAGTGGTCACTGGCTTTCAGGGACGGAGGGAGTAGAAGCTGGGGGTGATGAAGGGTAGCAGGCAGAATATAAAAAATGGAGAGAGTAAAGCCAGGAAAAGTGTACTGTACAACTGCAAAAGCAGGAATGGGGGATGGGAAACAAAGAAGACAGCTGGGGCTAGCAGC